TCGTGTTCCGAGAAAATTGATTGCATTTGCTTTTTTCTCTTTTACCTAAATAGGGAAAAGACAAAGGTATTTCGGGTATATCTAGAGACCCAAGCTATCGCCCGATCGAACTATTTCAATCGATAAGTACCCCTTAATTTGTGGGTCAATCTTTTCTACCAGAAGTCTTGCACCGGTATATAAAGTGTAGCTCACTTTTTGAAAGGAAATTTTATCTTAATAGTATTTTAAGGACATAATTTATAGATTTGCCCAGTAGTTTTCCCAATAAATGTGAAACACCGGAAAAAAACGGTAAAATAAATACAATATCAAACAAGTATTATTAAAGAAAATTTTAATGCACATAATGTTATTGTTTTACCATAATGTGACCTGTATATTATTGACAAAGCAATATAATTAACTGAAAACCACTCAGAATTGTTTTTCGTTAACAATGATTAATTACTGCGTACGGATATACATTAAATTTCTTCTCTACTTTCCCTACAAATCACCTACAACAATGGCTCACCCACGTGCGAAAAATTCCCGCCTTGCTTTTGTTGGTTATGTCGTATATGTTACACAATAAATAAAGGGATCTGTTCTTAAAGAGAATGTCATCTTCTACTTAATAAAATACAAAACATGGTGTCAGATATAAAATTATAATATTAACTAAAAAGAATTGCAGTATGACGAAATTGTCGATACAACATGTGGTGCCTAGGCACTCTTGAAAACTCACTATTGAAACTCATGTCTTATTATTTAATATGCATAAAGATAAATATTTGAATACTACAAAACTTTTTCAATTTTATTATTTGTTGAAATTCAATTAAAAATATTCGTATCAATTTTATGGACTTAAAATTTTAGAAAGAAATTTTGAAGAAAATCAGTATGGGGAAGTATTATAAGGGGGTGTTAAAAGAAAAACGGGAAAATGTACGAAATATTTTAATAAATTATTATGATTTTTTTTCAACAGCAATTTTGTTCCAATTTATAATGAAAGCTACTTTTCTAAAAATAAATTTCAACACGGATGTATTTTAGTGACAAAATCTTTCGAATTTTACAGTTTTTTCGTCAGATTTGAAAACCCAAAAAAGAACAGAGGAAAAACGGGAAAATGTAAGATATTTAGGTATTTTTTCCTGTAGATAACTTTCTACAAACAATTTGGCTCCAATTTTCAATGATTAGAAAGGTAATTTTTAATTAATTAAATTAATCCCGTTAATTAAACCGGGAAAAACGTAGAAAAACTGGAAAAATTAGTATAAAATTAAACTGTACGTAAAGAACAGGCTTAGTAACTCATCCTGTATATAGTTTTAATTAATTACCTAGTTTCCTTTCTAGTACTGTACAACCTTGTTAAATCAAAAATAATCACTTACCTTTTTGCTTACTAGATTCTGGCTCTAGAAAATAAAAATTTTAATTTAATTTTGAATATCGCAGCTTATTTTATATTTTTCTAGTTTTCTGTGTCGCTAATTAATATAATACAAATTTACTGGCACTGTGTATTGATATCATGATTCAGGATAGTATTTGTCTATTGTATACTAATGACTTTAACTAAACTGTAGTATTAGTTTTTAATGATATATTATGCTTTTAATTAATTTGAATGATAATAGTTGTGTTTTTTTCATTATTTTTGTAGTAGAAAAAGACTCATCCACTCAGAATTTAGAAAATGAATTTTTGCTTTCAATGTGGAAATTATTTATTCACAACGATATTTTTTATTTATTTTTTTGTTCTACGTACAAAAATTCTTCTTGAAATCCTGCTCTGATGTATTCGCATAGCAACTTTTCTGAATGGAAATATTGTTCAGAAGGTAGTAATTGAAGATTCTATTAAATTTTCTATGCGGTTTTCATGAAATCTAAGAAAAACCTAACCTAACTTATTGATTTACTATGATATTTTTTTTTGTTTTTTTGTTCGTTGACAACACTATCATTAACTGATTAGTGATAATCGATAAAATAATTTTAAAGGTTAGAAATATCAAATTTTGGTTTTGTTTTATTTGTTTTGTTCAAAATGTATGTTCTATATCCGAAAATTGTTACGAAATTATTTGTCAACATCTAATATAGGGTCCGTTGAAGACTAATGACTCGCTCTATCTTTGGCACTCTAATGTCATCATATCGTTCATTTTCAAATAAAAACGAAACATTTAGTATTATAAAGAAAAAGTTTTACTTGTAAGAATAATAAAAAAGGGACAAGTGGTCGTACCGATACATAAAGAAAAATATTATGACGAATATATTATAATAATGAACAAAACGAGCGTATTTTTAAGGACACGTATCATACGAACTTAATACAAAAGATTTGTACGATTATTGTTAAAAACTAAATATAATATTAAAAAATGCACATACTGTCCCCTTTCCCTAGAGTAAAAACAAAAAAAAAATTTTAAATACCACAAGTTATTTTATAAGACTATTTCAGGTTTATTAATATAGTTCACATTTCATATAAATACATAAAAAATAATTTTTAAGACTTCGTCAATTGAAATTATTAATAAACTAGTTGCCAAAAAAAAAAAAAAAAACTCAAATGTATTATATATATATATATATAAATATTCATATATGCAGGGATGGGAATCAATAATAGGAGACTTAAAGAAACTAATGATATTTGAGAAGAAAATACTAAAGAGGATATTCGGCCATAAAAAGATCAATGAAAACAATAAATATCTATAAAGGATAAAGAAAAGGACAAACGCAGTTTAAAGGCAAACATTTAACGAAACCGATAAAGTAGGTGTCATGAAAAGTCGAAGTCATAGCTAGG